CCTTTCTGTGGCTGAACTGTAAGAGGCCTCTATGTATTCTGGATATTAAACTCTTATGAGGTATCTGATTTCCCCACATTTTGTACCATTCTTTAGGTTGTCTTTTCATTTTCTTGGGAATGTTTTCTGATGTATGAAGTTTTTAATTTTGATAAAATCCAATGCGTCCATTTCTCTTCTGTTGTTTGTGATTTTAAATTTCATTTCTAAGAATCCATGGCTAAATCCAAGGCATGAAGATTTAGCCCCTACATTTTCTTCTAAGACTTTTATTTTTGTGTATGGTGTAAGAAAGTGACAATAAATTATATTTAATTTTTTTTAAAAAGACAGTTAAAAGTAAAAAGAATAGATTAAACTTTGAAGAATATGGACTTTTATAGTTTTGCCTATTTTCAGTTAATTTATATTATAGTATAAGATAGGAATCCAACTTCATAATTTGATATACGAATATCCAGTTGTTCCCACACTATTTGTTGAAGAGACTGTTTTTCTCCTATTGAATGGTCATGGCACCTTTGTTGCAAATCAGTAGTTTGTAGAGGCTTATTTCTGCAGGTTCGATTTCATTCCATTAGTCTACGTGGTTACCATATGCCAGGGCCACATTCTTCTGATAACAGTATCTCTGCAGTGAATTTTGAAATCAAGACATAAGCCTCCCCCAACTTTGTTCTTCTTTTTCAATATCATTTTGGATATTTCAAGGCAATTGAAATTCCATATGAATTTGAAGATCAGCTTTTCCATTTCTGCCAAAAAATGCAACAGGGTGTTTTTGGTAGGGGCTCCACTGAATCTGTAGCTGACTTTTGGCAATACTGAGATCTACTAAATGTTTGTGTCTCTCCAAAAGTCATATGTTGATGAGGCGCCTGGGTGGCTAAGTTGGTTGAACATCCAGCTTCGGCTCAGGTCATGATCTCACGGTTCGTGGGTTGGAGCCCCGTGACAGGCTCTGTGCTGACAGCTAGCTCACAGCTTGGAGCCTGTTTCAGATTCTGTGTCTCGCTCTCTCTGACCCTCCTATGCTCATGCTGTCTCTCTCTCAGAAATAAAACATTTAAAAAAATAAAAATAAAAAACAAAGTTCATATGTTGAAACTTTATTGCAAATGTGATGGTATTTGGGGGTTTCGCTTTGGGAAGGTGATTAGGTCTGACAGCAGAGTCCTTATGAATGGAATTTAGTACCTTTATAACAAAGACTCCAAATATTATCCACATCATTATTCAATAAAAGTGGTTACTGCTACATATGTGATTCAGTACATCCATAATGGAAAATAGGACCAGAGTTTAGAGAATGAAAGAATAAAATTCTTATCCTAGTTCATACTCAATATTTTGACCAGGTAATACTCCTTGTGCTTTAGTTTCCTCATTTTTAAGAAAAGAGTCTAGAGATTCACGCTGAAATTCTTCCAGCACCAAAATTCCATTATCTTATTATGTTTTCCAAAATTTAGCTACTAGGCTTAAATAAAAGCACTAATTTGGGTTCATGAGGACAATGTAATATTTCTCTAGAATTTCAGGTTATTTTCACTAAAATAGTTGTTGGCTCCTGATCCAGCTTAGTGTACTCTTTCCACTTGCTGGATTTATTTCTTCTTAATTCACACAGTTAAACTTAATATGGTTGTTGACATAATTGAGAGAATTTTCATTCTTATTTCTCTTCCACTGCCCATCTCTTTGTGTGTCCCTATCATTTTATTGTGCTTAATTTAATGGTATTTAAACCCCCACAGCATTTGGCAGCTTTTCTAATTCTCTGTAAATTCTAGGAAAACAGAAAACAGGAAGCATCAATATATTAGTAACTAACAAAAATAACCTCTTTGCTTTTTAACCAACTTGAATCCTCCATTACATACTTCCTTTTGTGTGTATGTGTGTGTGTGTGTGTGTGTGTAAAGGTGGTTCTATTTTAGTGTGAAATGAATAGAAAGTCAATCAAAAACAAATAATTACAAATCACATTCATATTTCACATTCAGCTCCTTTTCTAGTGTTCTGAAATCATGTTATTCCATGTATGTTCAGTTAAATTCACATGGTGGAGAGAAGAGATTTAAAGGTAAATTAGATGTTCTTGTCTCCTAGAGCAATGTTTCTTGAAGTTGGATCATGGTCCAACTATACTAGATAGGGTGATTTCCTAAAATAAAAATTCTAAATTAATAGGCATGTAACTTGAGAAGTAGGAATGAATATATTTTTTAAAACGTAGTTAGGCATCCACTGATGAATGGATAAGGAAGATATGTATATATGTATATACACATGTACACACACACATATATACACATATATGTATATATATACACATGTACACACACATATATACACATATGTATATATACATATCAGCTAAGATCATGATCTCATGGTTTGTGGAATCAAGTCCCACATCAGGCTCTGCGGTGACAGTGTGGAACTTGCTAGGGATTCTCTCTACCCCTCTCTCTCTGCCCCTTCCTTGCTCTCATGCATGTGCTTATCTCTCTCTCAAAATAAATAAATAAACATTAAAAAAAAAGAATGAAATCTTGCCATTTGCAATGACATGTATGGAGGTAGAGAGGATTATCTTAAGTGAAATAAATCAGTCAGAGAAGGAAAACATATGATTTCACTCATATGTGGAATTTAAGAAACAAAACAAATGAGCAAATGGGAAAAAAAGAGAGAGAGTCAAACCAAGAAACAGACTGTTAACTATAGAGAACAAACCGTTGGTTACCAGAAGGGAGGTGGGTGGGAGTTAAGTTGATGATGGGGATTAAGGAGTACAATTGTGATGAACACCAGGTGTTGGACGGAAATGTTGAGTCACTATATTTTACACTGAAACTAATTACATTGTAGGTTAACTATCCGGGATTTGAATAAAAACTTTAAAAAATTATTTTAACAATAAATAATAATAAATAATAATGCCTTTTGTGATAACTATAAATGACCTTTGGTTATTTCTGATTTGGCATTATTGAAGTGTATGTGCATGTGTGTGTGCGTGTGTGTGTGTAACTTTAGTGATTAAGGTAAATATCTTTTGTTAATGGTAATTTCAAGTTACTTTTGAGGATGTTTTATATACTTCATAGTTAATTTGAATAAATATCACAAATGAAATTTATCTTTCTAATCTACTGCATTAATGCTTGAAAATGTGGTTCTCTGCCCTGGAGGCAAGTTGGTGGCTGTTTTGGTGGCATGTCCTTGACAACCCAGAGAAACCTCAGGGAAATGTGAGAGGTCTGTGCTGCCAAGGTGAGGCAGGTGTGGGGGACAGTAACATATGGAGAAATAATTAGCCGGCTGAGTCTGTATTACAAGAATAATTTTACCTTAAGCCAGTTAGAATTAATTATCCTACCTTAAGCCAGATAGAATTAATTCAATTTCTCCCAAAGAAACTGTTTATTTGGCACAATTGGGGCAGACGTAGCTGGAATGTTTTTTACCCATATTAATGAGCATTTCATAATTAGAACTATGTCCTTTGGCTCAGTATACAAATAGGAAAAAAAGAAAGAAGGAAAAGTTGGATTTACAAAATTTTAAAACCCAAATGTGTCCTTTTCTCCAGATAATTATCTGAGTTTTAATGTTTTCTAGTCTTTATATTTGAATGAGTCACTGCTTATTAGCTTAGCTTGTACCATATGAGGAATGCCTTTTCCATTCTTTTTATTAGATTTATCTTATCCGCATTTTCCTTATTAGTATGTAATCCACTGGAAGAAAAAAATCCCTTTTAGTTTTTATTTTTAATGGCTGTAGAAGAAGTATCAGTGTATGTTTCTCAGAACTAGATTAAAAAGTATTCAGTTTTTTCTGTGATTGGGCAATATGAATTTTCAGATAGAGCAATCCATCCCAATACTTATTTCACATGTGTTCATAACATATCTTTTACTAAGAACAGAGGAATATTAAGACATAATTTTATAAAGGGTGAAAGGTAATCTCGTCTATTATAGATTAAAAAATCATTTAAATTCACATTATATCTACTCTTTCATTTGTTTATTGATTGATTCAACCAAAATTTGCTGAATACTTGCAGTTTGGTTGTAGGTATCAAAAAATAGATGAATTAAGAGAAAGGTAAATAATACAAGGAATCAGATGACTTGGAAGGACTTGGGGGTCAAACTCCATGTTGGATGTACAGGAATGGCCTCTGGTGGATTACAGAGCAGGCCTAACTGAGGAATGAGTTCTCCAAAGAATGTGTCAGGAAGAGACAGAGTACAGTGACATGGTTTGATCGCTGCCTGCATGATCATCCACCTTAGCTATAAGCTGGGGATAGATGTCACCTTATGACTGGGCTTGCCCGCTCTATAATTTCTTGCTGCCATTCTTCCTCAATGAAATCAGCTCCAAATTTAGGTCTTACATAAGCGCATTTATTTTCCGGCATCTAAAGATTATCTGGAGCTCTATCTATTAGAGATTCAAGAAAATGTAGATGTTTAGCAATACAAGAGGGAAAACTGGAAGCAATCAGAAATAAACATTGAGATAGCCAAACTATTTCAGACACAGCATAGACGGGGTATATAAACATGGCAAGGCACACAGCCTAACAGCTGTCCTCATGAAGCCTATGGTCAAATCAACTCGTCAACAAAGAAGTCTGTAATGGCGACTTTTAAATGCTAAAGTTAGTAGATTCATGTCATAGCTTCCTCCTGGGAAATGACGATTCAGACTGAGTGCAGAAAAAAGAAATCCTTACCTGGAGAGGAGAGGTATTCATATGGTATTCGTATAGTATTCCGTATGAAGTAAATAAGTACATGGGCGCATTTGCCTCTGGTGAAATTTGGGGGAAACAAGTGAAATCTACTTGAAATCTACTAATTCTCTGAGATCATTCTAAGTGTAGGCACTGGAAGAGAAAAGTGGCTGTTGGGGAGAGATACTGGGAAGAAAGCTGAGGTTCTGAGATTCTAAAATCTGTGTCCACCGCCTCACAGGTCCCTGGCATCAGGATGGAGCTCCAGGGCCCGTTCTGAAGATGCTGGTGGGCCTCGGGAGCAGACGTGCTCAGCAAAAGTCCGTGTGCTGTGGAAATAGTGGGAAGGCACCGAAGAAGTCATGGGATCTCCTAAATTAACTCCCCTCCAAGGATCTGGTGGTTATACTCAGTTTTTGTAGCTAAAGGAATTGTCATGTTATGACTTTTCCTACCTGCTTTATCCTTACATCCTGTTGTTCATCTCTGCCCAAATTCATTTGCACTGAAATTAAAGTACCTTTCTATGTTGTTTTAGGGATGTTATCCATCAATTCAGATTATTCTTGGAGTATGTTAGTTATATAGCTTAGTTTCTTTAATTATGGAGCCTGCTCCAAATTGTTATTTTGGAAGGTTTCTGTTAGCATCTGCAGCAAAATACTTGTTGATTGCTTCTTTACCTAAGAATGGCAACAGCTTGCTCTGTACTTTTATGTCTTTGTATTGCAGACATTGCACAGTATAATCAATGTTCCCCTCACCACTGGAATAGAATTACTTTTATTGGTATACAACCTGAAAATAAATCTCCTCTTCATGTACAAAATGGACAGAATGATTCTTAAGCAGAGGAATATGTCCCACCATTTTATTTGCCTTGGGCACACTATAGAAATGCATATCTATTCTATATATATTACATATGCCTATTTTATATATATTATATATAATGAATATATACACACATACACACAGTATATAAAACATTCCTCCACCCCCATCACACAGACATGCAAAGCTACATATACATGAGAAGAGTTTAACAATGTAGTAGGCCAATATTGACAAATCCAAGATGATAAAGACAATTAGGAAGTTCCTAAGTCATCTGAGATCAGCAGATATAAAATCTACACAAAAATCTTCATTTTGTCAAGTTGAAACATAGAATTAAATGTGTTTGGAGATTCAACATCCATTTTGTGTCATAAAGATTACCGGATGGTTGTTGTTTAGGGAGCCATAACATCTGTTCACCCGGCGTCTACTTACATGCATTGATTTTCCCCGGGGATCCGCTCCACCCTCGAATTTCAGGCCACACCCTGTGATTAAGGTTGATACCACCTCTGCCTCCAGGCTGGGCGGTGACTCGTGTGTATCTAACGGAAACATTTAAGTTTTCTGGGCACACATACTAGTACCGACAAGTAGCCGCATCAGAGACAAGGAAATGTAATGATGCTTAGACTTTTCCAAGAGACGCATTTTCTTGCTGTTAGAATTAAAGTTAAACCTGAGAAAATAGAGACTGAGAGCTCCCAAAAGTATCGTGCTTTCACTTGTTGCTGCATGAGAAACAGAGGTGAGGCATGGACAGGGGACTGACCAGGTGACATAATGAGCCTCTGGCTTAAGCAATAGCCTGGATTAAGACATCCTGGGAATTGTAAATAATGCTGCTATAAACATAGGGATGCACGTATCCCTTCAATTAGTGTTTTTGTATTATTTGGGTAAAAACCTGGTAGTGCAATTACTGTATCATAGGGTAGTTCTATTTTTAACGCTTTGAGGACGCTCCACACTGTTTTCCACGGAGGCTGCAGCAGTTTCCACTGTCTCCACCAGGGTTGATTTTTCCTCTCCAACACTTGCTTCCTGTGGATGTGACCTTAGCCATTCTGACAGGCGTGAGGTAGTTTTGATCATTTACAATAGCCAAATAATGGAAGCAGCCCGAGTGTCCATTGATTGAATATTATTCAGCCATAAAAAAGAATGTGATCTTGCCATTTTTAATGATATGGATGGAGCCATGAAGTATAATGCTAAGTGAAATAAGTCAAAGAAAGACTAATACCATGATTTCACTTATATGGGGAGTTTCAGAAATGAAACAAACAAGCAAAGGGGGGAGCGGGGAGAGACAAAGCAAGAAACAGACTTTTAACTATAGAGAACAAACTGATGGTTGGTTACCAGAGGGGAGATGGGGGGGGGAGGGTGACACAGGTGATGAGAATTAAGGGGGAGCACTTCTGATGAGCACTGGGTGATATGTGCGATTATTGAATCCCTATATTGTACACCTGAACTGACTATAATGCTGTCTGTTAACTATAATGGAATTAAAATAAATTTTTAATTTAAAAAAAATACCTGTGGGATTTTCAACTCATTTTAATGGAGTTATTCTCCATTAAAGAAAATTTGAATTGAGTTTCCAGTAAATTCCAATAAATAACAATGTGTTTCCCAATAAATCAAAACAGTTTAAATATTAATAGCAAATATATTCTTTAAAAAAGGAAACTTTAATTTTTTTTACTATTTATATTTGAGAGAGAGAAAGAGAGAGAGAGTAAGTGGGGGAGGGGCAGAGAGAGAGGGAGACAGAATCCAAAGCAGGCCCCAGGCTCTGAGCTGTCAGCACGGAGCCTGAAGAGGGACTCAAACCCACAAGCTATGAGATCGTGACCTGAGCTGACACTGGACGCTCAACCGGCTGAGCCACCCAGGTGCACCAAAAGGCAATTTTAAAAGGAAAATATAGGTGAAATAAATAAAACAATAAACTCCTTTGTTTTAAGAAAAAAAACAGGGAATCAATCTCTACATTTGTTAATCCTTATTAGGATAGACAAGTAGTATTTAGCTTTTAGCTATCAAGTATATATTAAATATAAACATAAGAGAGGAAGGGTATGGATGTATCTACATACTCAGCTCTGGTATATAACATGGAATATGGGTAGACATATTTTCTACATCCATGTTGGAGAAAACTATTCCCTAAAGTATTTTGTAGACATATCTCCTATCTATTTGAAGTGATATATTACATGATATCTGTTTTATTACTTATAAATGTCATAATATTAAATAATTTTTCCAAACTACTAGTTATGAATGCTTAATATAAAGTGCTAATGAAACTAGATTGTTCAGTATATATGTAAATATTTGGAAGGGAATCACACAAGTAGAAGATGGATCGAGAAGTTTACTGTATTAGCCACAGTCTTATTAGCAGAAATCCTGGTCTTCTGGCAATACCTAGAAGAAATAAACATAACTTTCTCATCTGTTTTTACCCATACAAAGCTGAAAAACACTGGCTTCCTCATCATCTCTACCAGGTGTGTTTCAGTAATTAATTAATAAAAATTTGGAAATTCAGAAATAGCATTTCAGGGTCTAGAAAAAGTATTCACCTTCTTAAAATAATGATTATCCTGGGATTTATGGAGACTCAACATACAGAACTGTGTCCCCTGAAAGTTCTTTTTTTCTAGAGATGCGCAGTGTGAACTTGAACTCTGCTGCAAACTTAGTGCTGGAGGAAGTCTTTTCTATTTAATCCCTAGCTCGTTATGATTCTTCTGTTATTCGTGGATGTGAGGTGAGATCATTATACAGCTGATCCAATAAAAATGCTGTTGAGGTATTCTAGTTTATTCCTATCTATGGTTCCAAGATGTGTGAGAGATTAACTTCAACGTTTGCTGCGGCGAATCTTGTGTATATTCTGGCATTCTTGTTTTATAACAGGTCTTAATTACCAAGATGCTAGGATTTCAAAATTTTAGTTGAATTTTGGCAAGGTGCTGAATGATGTTGTATCCTGAAGAACCACATTATTAAATGTTAAAAAAAAAAAAGCCACCACTTCCTCTTGTATGTACAGTGGACAGAAAAATCAAACAAATGATTGAATAAAACCTGTCCTAATGGATACTGCATTTAATGAGTAATAGCGATAACAGTATACAACATATAACTACATATTCTTTATGAGGAAGAGCCTCAACTTCGTGGAATAAGCAATAAGAAGATTCTGAAGGAGACAACTATGTTCGTTTTCTAGGGCTGTCATAACAAATCATCACAAATCTGTGATGCGACAGATTCGACAAATCTGTGATGCGACAAATCTGTCGCTTAAACCTAAGAAATGTATTCCATCGTAGTTCTGTAGGCTAGAAATCCAAAATGAAGTTACCAAAAGGGCCTCTCTCCCTCCAAAGGGCTCATAGGGAGAGAACCCTTGCCTGCTTCCTCCAGCTTCTGGTAGCTCTTGTTACCTTTGACCTGTAGTCATGTAACCCCAGTCTCTGCCTCCATTTTTCCTGGCATTCTTCCCCATGTGTCTGTTTCTCAAATATTCCCGGCTTTTTCTGTGAGGACGTCAGCCATTGCATTTAGAACACAACTTAAATCCAGGATGATCTCATCAGGGGGTCCTTAACCTAATTACATCTTTAAAGACTATTTCCAAATAAGGTCACATTCATAGTTATTGGAGTTAGAACTTAGAAGTATCTTTTTAGGGACACAATTCAGTCCCTTGCAATGATTAGCAAACAGATTCTACCGGGAGCCGCGCCGGCCTCTCTGGATGGCAATCACGGCAAGGAAGTGACAATGTTTGCAGCTCCTCCCATGAGGAATGAAAACTGGTATCTCCTTCTGCTACCATTAGCTCATGTTGGATATAAGCCTGCTGGTATTGACCAGGCCTCCCAATATTCCATATCAGACCCATATTCTGAATACAGATACCTCACAAGGAAAAGCATATTCCTGCCTTTACAAAAGAGACTTTAGATGAAAGCTCTATGGGCGATTGTCAAAAGGCTCTTCCTATGGGCCTTGCAGATCCAAGACTTAAGGGGTTAAGAACACAAGAGTTACAATTGAGCCTGGCCCTGAGACAAAGAGCCTATTTCAGGGCAGAACATAAGTTACTACATATATCTTTGCTAATTGGTGAAGCATAGCAGTCCCTTCCTCAAGGCCTACATTCCACAAACACCCTCCCTTACACTGGCAACTGGGATGAGGATAGATAAGAGTAGCTAAAACATAAACCCAGGTGCAAAGACGGACACATTTAGGGCCCCCATGATGGCTTCCACACACAAACCAATTCAGAAACATTCATCCTCTTGAGAGCCAGACAGAATGACTCCTAGCTTATCTATATACAACTTAACCTATATATTATCCTGTTTTTCACTAAGAGCATCCTGTTAATTCCTTGGTTGTAAATTCACTATGACTGAGATAATCTGCAAAATATCAAAAACTTGTTATCGCAAAAGGCCTCCCATTGTAGAAATTCCTTTCTCTGACTTCATGTTGTTGCTGAACCTTTAAATAAAGACACAAAAAACCGACAGGACAGAGATGCCTGCCTGGTGATCAGAAAGAATCTCAGGGCTCTCTCACTCTCTTTCGACAACACCGTCCATCCTTCAGCGACCCCTGGACCTGTCGGAGCCGGCGCGGCCTCTGACGAGATTCATTTG